ACAAAGCTGCTGGAACACAAGCCCAAACTGCACAACCAAACCGACGAGACAGAGCTTTTTGTCCTTGTTAGCGAGGGACGTCAGCCCAGGCCTTCACCTGACCTAATTGAATATGCAATTACAAATACATGTGGCATTGTTAAGCAGGTATACCTGAACAACATCAGTGTCTGTAGTCTGTGTGTGGGTGCAGCTGTACCATAGATAGACATGCGACCTTTCAATGCACTTAAACTGTGTCTGCAGGACAGCAGAGTGGGCGTCTCGCTAAATGATCAGAACAGGAGGTTGCAGTAGGTCATGTGTCAGATGAGCATCTAAAGGTCAGGACAGTTTCTAAAGCTCTGATGGAAATGATAACGTCGAGGCTGCTTCCTCGTCTCGTGGTACACAAGTGCACACAGAATCAGACCTAATAAGGATCTGATTGTCAGCATACGAGTGATGTATGTTTCTAAGCATAAAGGACGATATAAAAGATCAATTCCAACACTGCTGTCAGCCTCATGCTTCTTTCTGCCTCTGCCCTCAGTGGGGAAGCCCATCCCAGTGGTCCAGACTCCGAGTCCCAGCAGCGAGGACATCGAGAGTCTTCATAAAGTCTACCTGCAGAATCTCGCTGAGCTCTTCGAGCAGCACAAACGCAGCTACGGCCTTGCTGACGACCAGCACCTCGCCTTCATCTGATGGAGCGCGTGAACGTTGAACTATGAACTACATTCATGTAAACACCTGACCTGTGTGTGACTTGCATGTGATTTCACTATGAGTTGGATCTGCTTGCAGAGCCCGTTGACTTAAATTGGAAATTCCAAAGCTGCTATCAGGAAGCACTGATTACAATAGCAAAAGCTAACAGTGCTGGGAGGAGCCATGCATTTAAATAGGAGCTAACACACAGTGGGAAGCATTCAGGTCATAAGGAAACACTTGCAGGAATCTGCCTGTAATGGGCTTTGCTAACGTTAATGCTAATGGAGCTTTCATGGTACGTTTAAGGGTGTCATCAAGACCACTCTCGTGGGTTTATGTGCAATAAATCATGTAATAGGATCACAGGTAAATGGACTGGTTCTTATTTTGTGCTTTCCTGCTTCGAGCAGTCCTAGCGATTTACACAATTCACCCACAGTCATACTC